GGTGCTGTTAGCCGCACTTCCTTTCTGAGACCGTTCACCTTCCCTTCGTAGGGTGTGCTCAGGGTAGCTGGACCGAAGATGGCCCCTTTCCCCACAGCCATAGCACCTAGGGCTGTATCTTTTATTGTGGTCGCGAACCGTAACTGCTGTAACCTCCCTAGCGTGAGGTGAACGATGATCCTGTCGCCGCCAGGCAGTGTCGTTAGCTGCACTACCCTCTCGAGATCGATCAACTCTCCTTTCAACGGTTCGCTTAGGGCAGCTGATTCGAAGATGGCCCTTTTCCCCACAGCCATAGCACCTTGGGCTGTATCCTTTGTTGCGGTCGCGAACTGTAGCGGCGGCAACCTCCCTGACGCGATGGGAATGATGATCCTGCCGCACGGCTGCTACCTCCAGTGCATGGGCCAAGGCGTCCTTAAGCGTCTCGTGGTGCCCGAGCCTCACAGCAGCTCTAACTTCCAGGTCGCGGATGCCGTCGATGAATGTCTGCACCAGGTTCCCTTCAATGAGCGCAGGTACAGACCGGTATGCTTTTCGCACCAGTTTCTCCACTTCTAGAGCCCACTGCTGCAGGTTTTCGTTGATGCGCTGCACACGATCTTTAAGCTGCGCACGAAAGACGTGTTCCAGGTGAGCGTCGCCATATCTCGCCTCCAATGCCTCAAGGAGTTGCTCATAAGTCACTTCCTCACCGAGAGCTTCCAGAACTGTTAAGGCCTGGTCGCGCAGGCCTAGTGTGAGAGCAGTCATGGCCTGACTTTTATTCCAGCCGTTCGCCTTCATAACAGCCTCGAACTGGATTTTGTAGGCTGACCAGGAAGAAGCCCCGTCAAACGGTGGCACCTTGAACCCACGTAGCGAAGGTGCTGAAGCTACTACGGGAGCTGTGGTTCCATCCCCAAGTTTGAGTTCATCCAGCGTTTTCTTAACTTGGTTGATTTGGGTCTCAGCTTCCGACAGGCGGTTATCATGTTGAGCAACCTTATCCTTCACCTCCCTTATCTCTTTCCCGAAGGTAGCGTGAAGGTCCTTCATGAGAAGCATCTGTTCTTCCTGGCCGCCCCGCAGCTGCTCTTCCAACCGACGGACCTGTTCCTCCTGTCGGCGAGCCTGTTCCTCCTGTCGGCGAGCCTGTTCCTCCTGCTGCTCTTTTAACAGACGGGCCTGTTCCTCTCGTCCGCGCTGCAGCTGCTCCTGTAGCATCGCCATCAGAGCACCTAAGTCAGGTGCTGCAGGTGTAGGAGCTAATGACGGGCCCGCAGCCTCCGTGGCTGGCAGTTGGCCCTCCGACGTCTGTGGCGTTGCACCACCAAATCTCCTCTGGTCCGTCTCATGCTGGCGTTGACTGTGGGTACGGACACCCTCCGTTTCCTTCTTAGGTAAAATCGGCATGATTTTATCCCACTTCTGACACCAATTGTTACGAGCTTGAGGTTCGTGACAATAAAAATTGCCGATAAAATTACCTACATTAACACTTTAATTTACTTTACACAATTAAAGTTAAAACACTAATAATTTAAACACACTAATTCACTTAATTCCACTCCGAAGCTTCGCTTGTTTCGCCCAAATCAACACTACCCCGATCGCATCTTGCAGCGCCTATATATTTGAATCAGCAAAGAAATATCCAGAATGTTCAAGTAAACACGGGCAAGGTACCGAGCGTTCGAGTTTCGACTAGGCGCTGTCGGTTGAGTGATGTCATTTTCTCAATGCTCCCCTCGCTCTCGTTCCTGACACTAGATGGCGCTAGTGTATCGTTGACTGGAGCGCGTAACAATATGTACTAAACGCTACACCACGTGGATAGAAAACCAACAGTGAAATATCACGCACAACCTGCATGATTGAGAAGTTTTTTTTCTCTAAATAATTATAAATAACTATTTTTTATTCTAAAAATTTCGAACAACCGACTTCAATATAAATAAAATTAGAACTTCATCAATGTAGCCTATGTCAATTAAATACGAATTATTAAAGATAACTCAAAAGCTACTGGTGAGATCTTGATCAAATTTATATGGGACCACATGAGAACCACCATTTTTTAAATAAAAAAAGAATCATCAAAATCGTTTCACATAGAAAAAAATTCTGAGGTAACACATAAAAAACATCAGTCGGATTGAATAACCTCTCCTTTTTGAAGTTGGTAAAAATGTACATATTGTGGGATACAGTACGATCTTTTTGTATTGTGGACGCGTTTTTACATATATCAATGCACATGGGTAAAAATCCAGTTATTATTATTTGTGGATTATACAGTCTTGCTGTCTTTAAGTTTTGCTTTTAATTTTAAATAATATTCCCTAGGTCCTTTTTTTCGGCCTAGGAGTAGGTTCGGGTAGACAACTCTCTCTTACTTATTTCTTGTGCTGCTGTGTTGCGATCTGAAATGTATAATAGAGAGCTAGGTATAATTATAGGCTGTATGGTATTCCATCTTACCCGTCAGGGATGACAACGTAGTGGTAACGTGGCTTTGTGTTTGAAGTTGTCTGCAAGTGTTCATGGCGTGCAGCTTACTTAGCTCGTTTGTCACTTATTTTTATTAAAAAAAATTCATTGCATAAACTATTCAAATAATATTACGAAATACTCATAATAGGAATTTTCGTTACGTTAGTAGATCGGTATAAGTCAGCGAATGTAAATACCCACACAATCTTTTTAATTAGGTACTTTAGACAACTACCATGCATAGCCGCTGTTTCCATGAAAAGTGTTTAAAAAGCATATAGTATTGAGTGCATCGGAAATAATATTAATATAAAGCTATCTACCGACATACAAAATTCGTTATTAGAGACAGATATTATTGAGTTCATAATCTATAAGCATTGATGTCTTTTATGATAAATTAATTGTTCATGAATGTAAACCGGTGGTGGGCAACATCATGTTTTCCTTATTCGCATTTAGAATTCCGCTTTACAATTGATGGAACCACCATCACCTTTCATGATTCTATATATTTTTACAAGTTCATAAAATCGAGGCATACTCACCTCCAGTCTCTATTAATAATCTAGTAATAAAATATTATTTAGGCATACCTATACCTATTAATACATATTTAAAACATTGTTACCAAGGTTTTTACGCAATTTTACTAATTTTATATTTGATAGAAATTGAAAAATTTTAGCTAAGCCCTAAAACTTCTAATTCATAGTTTAGGTAATTTCTTTTTACAGTGGAAATAATGGTATTTTAAAAAAGTAAATAACATAAGCACTGCTTTATAGTTAGTTCAGTTAGTATGTAAAGTTTCATGATCTCATTTATAGCATTTTATGAATAACAGCGGTTTATTGTTTATTTTGGAGGTAACTTTGGATTTTTTTTTCTATCGAGAAAATTTTACGAAATCGTGTTTTCGTCTAACATAATCCTTAACATTAATCCTCAACTTTACCATATATTTATTTCAAAATTATTGCTGCAATATTTTCGACATAACGAAGGATCTTGCTAAGTAAGCCATTTGAGATTATATTTCCCCTTAAAAAAAAATAAAGTTGCCACGACGAAATGCAGAAATTTCGATATTACCACGTGCTTGGCGGTGAATGAAAATATCGTAAGGAAACCATGTTCATTACCTTACCCTAAAATCCTCTCGGAAATGAGAGGAGGCTTGTGCCCAGTAGTGGTACGTATATAATATGTTTTATCTTTAACTTTTAGGAGAATGCATTTTTTTTATTAAATAATAGTGACAAACGAACACACACAATCAACAAGAAGTGGATTCTGTGGCTACATCTATCTACATCTATCCTCGATTACAGAATCTGAATGCAGATGTGCTGTCAACCCTGAGAAATAAGATAGAATGCCTCGCTTTCAGTTAAAAGGGTATCCGGTTCTCTACAATCATCATACGAAACACAGCATCATTGAACTGATATTTTACGTTGGTATTGTAAGAGCGTGATGCCATACCGGTCGAGCTGACCCATTCGTGGTTTAATCATAATATTGCTGCAGCATGGCTTTACCACGTATAGCAATAATATACAGTAATTACATAAAGTTTTTGTTGTATACGCAACCTTTACCTTTGCAGCCTATTAAGTCTACTGCTGAACAAAGGCCTCCCTATAGATTGTCTCATAGTCGCCATAGTTTCCAACTTGGCAAGTGGGTTGACAACCGCAGTGTTTTTTTTATTTTTACTCGATATTGGGCAGGCGCTGCCGTCCAATTACCCTGATTTATTTCCCTCTGTCGCCTCTTACGTCATCTACGGGATGATAGAAGGTAATGGATATTCTTACAACGCCATTATAAATTAATTGTATGCGCAAAGGTTACAAAAAAATCGGTCTGTTGCAGAGTAATTGAATGTCTGCATTGTTAGTCCACTCAGGATTGAGACGGAATTCCTCGTTACCAGTACAACGGATATTCATGTCTCGTCATTCACCATACGAAACACAACAGCATTAGTTTCCAGTGATTAAAATCAATTTAATTAATAATTAAAAAGTAATTGAATTGATCGAAATCAATTGTTATTTTAAAGAAATATTGTAATTTCCTTGCTTCCGTTACGTCAGTTACAGCATATAAAGTAACGATATAGTCGCCATGACTGGCTTTATAACAAAGATGCTAGTGGTTTTTTAACCTCCATCGCCTTTTACGAAACGTACAAGAGGATATGGGGCAGTAGATATTCTTACACCGCCACTACACGGTTTCTCCTAACTTATTTTTTTAAAGGAAAATGCTTGTAAAAAACCAATCATCGTCGTATATTGTGAACAATAAACATGTTGACATAGTGGAAAAGGCCATTTTAAATATTCAGTGTTTTTAAGGAAAAAACAAAAATTTTACTATAACAAGAACCCAGAGAACCCGCATTTTAAATTACAAGTTCAGATATTTTATTTATGGTTTAACAAAACGCTGGACAAACCAGTCAGTTGTAAGTCGTGTTGGCGCTAAGGTGTTTGTTTGTGAAAATAATTAAGTTCATTCCGTAAGTTATATTTTTGCATTCTAAATTTATTTCTATGTTATTGAAAATTCAATAAAAATAGTTTTTGTGATAAAAAATAACAAAAATCGAGTCATGTTTTATAAATGCTGATTTCTTATTTGAATATTACATCATTACCTTCCTGTATCTATAATATGGCATAATAACATGACAATCAACCGCCAAATGAATAAGAAAATTTTAAGTACCTAGTGGGCATGCAAGTTAGCCCATGAATGAATCCAGATTTAATATTAAAGGTGAAGTGAAGGATATTTTATAAAATGTCACAATTCAGAACCAAAGAATTTAATTTTATCGGAATTCGATGCTCAGAGAAAATCTTCTATAAGCAAACGGGGTATGTCCAAAAACTTCCTCGATTGTAAACAACTATTTATTTGTATATTTTCTTATTCGAGTAATAGGAGCAATATGCAATTTTTCTAAAGGTCAACCTGTTGATCGATGGACGATGCTCTTATGGATTTCAAAGGCTGGTAACACTTCCAGTGCGAGGATTTCGGTTCTGCGTTCATCAATGTGCCTGGCCAGTCCGGTGAGCATAGATATCAGAAGTAGCGTCACGAGTTGTTATGGCGTTACAAGCGGTACTGAGCTGAACAAACAATCGCGCGCTGCGAGACGTGGTCGGCTAAAGCTCTTTATTTTATAGCAAAAGTCATTGTCAAATCGTACGCAGACCTTTTAGTCAACTGTAGATGAACAAGGCTGTGTTGACGGTGATGATGATAATGATGACGGTGGTGGTGATGGTGATGATTAATATTTAATTTTAATGTAGGCTAACAGTGCAAGTGCTAACTTTACTTAATTTATTTTATTGCACCTACCACTGATTCTCACCACAGTCAAAGTTGGCTAGCAGAGAATTCCAATAAGCATTATATCCGTCACCTGTAATCTTTATGTCAAAATGAAGTTTCTTTCTTTCTTCCTATTTCGATGAGTTTTGCAATAATGAATGAATGAATAAATCTAATATATAAAAATAAATTTTTGTTTGTTCGTATTTTATGCGCTATACCGTTCATCAGATTGCGGTAAAAGTTTTTCAGCATATCGCTTGTACTTCCGCGAAGTTTAAAGACATAGTTGGACCCGGTAGGTGGCGCTGTTGTAGAATCCAGATATCACTTATGCAAAGCCAGGGAAGATCACTAGTATAAAATAATTTTAACAATCAGTTTGCGTTATCTAGGACTTCGTTTCTGAATAGAACATTTTCTTGTTAACGATTATGCGATGGATTTACGAGCACTACGCATTCAAAATGTATGGCACGGCACAAATAAAACTGAGTCATTACTATTGTAAGTTCGCTAAACAAAACAAAATACTGTACTTCGCATATAAAATATCCATTTGCGTAATTCCCATGTGGGATGTGTTGGTGATTACCATCCTCTTCATTTTATTTATATTTATATTTTAAATGACGGCTTGGTAGCGCTGTGGCTAAGATTTGAGATGCTGAGGCTGGAAGCTAAAATCGCACACAGGACAAGTGTTTGTATGGCCTACAAATAATTGTTCGGAGTTGCATGTTTGTTTACCAGTATTCAATTTACGTTCGTAAATCACCACAACGAGACAGGAGAACTTCCTACTGTGAAATTCTAAGACTTTTTTTAATACGGTTGTGGCGGCGCTGTCGTCGCGCGTACACAAGCGAAACACATCGAAGCCTAAATCGCGCTATCAAAGTTCCGAATCATAAATAGTATAATATATAGAATAGCTCCGAACTATCACACGGCGCGTTGGCTGCTTCCCGGGCAGAACATCTTGCCCGGCGGGTGATCTCCCCCTTTTTACTTCACACGACATAACGGTAGTTGAATTACACTGTACATACAGTTCACTGATATTAAGTGGTTAATGCAGTTCATGGATAACTGGAGCCCTTCAAACAAGGAAGGTTACAGATCTATCATCACCTCTGAGGACAAAAATGGTATGCTTCACAGTCTGTAATTACACTGGCTCTCTATACCCTTCTGATCGGAGCACAGCAGTAGAGGTAAGAAGGTAGAACCTACCCCTAGGGAAAAAAGGAATCCTACCATTGACTTTCCACATTATTATTTACTAAACAATTGTACTCTAGCTATACTATCTCCTTGTCCGAGACGGCTTTCAACTTGTTGAACGACACATTCATGCCAATGCCATCACAACGTATCCAAGCTTCTAAAAAAAATTGGGAACAACACTGTCCGAAACACTTGCACATCACTATTGAAGCCGATCTGTCAAACTTCTTTACTTTAGTACATTTTTATTCGATTTATCGTATGTTTAGCAGTAATAATAAGTACCTATATGACCTTTAATTTTAAGAGAATAATGACCTCGAGTTCTTTGATTTGACTCAGTGTTGACAAGTCCTTGTCATCTTTACATTGAAAATATTCAAGAAAGGAATGTTTAACTGTTTAAAGGGATAAGGAAAATTCCATACTCATATGACTTTTGCTTATAGGTCATGGCTTTTATTCAATTCTTGGTGGTGGTTGCATCTGCATGTATCGTGTTCGGTCAGCGACCTTCCTTTGCCGGTTCTCGACCAATTGGATACCCAGAATTAGAAAACAAAACGACTCCACCTGCTGATGAACTTGGAAATCGGTAAGATTTATTACTATTACCCCTCCTAATCTTATAAATTACTATTATTGACCTAAAATTATTGAGTTAGTAACCTTAACACTAGCTTCCAGTAAACAATATATTTTTGTTTATTAATAAGCAATGTAAGTATGTCGTTTGACCAAGATCCCTGTCCCATGTGAGCATTGATTAGTAGACACGACAGCCTTGAAAGTGCCGACTTGAAGACATCAAAATTTTAGTGATCTGGAAAGATTTGTGCAGGTAGTTTAAGTAACTCGCTTAGCGCAATACAAATAAAAATGCAAAACGCGTTAAACCGACAGTTCTGGCGCGAATTTCATTTGTAATCCGACAAATTAACAGCAGACGAGAAGAATGCAGTGGGACAGTTGTATAATAATAGGATGGGACGGTTAACCGACACAACCGGAGAGATCAGGCGCAGCACCAACTGCTTTACGTGATTTCTGAGGCACCGGGGTAAGATACTGCCTAATTTAGGAAGAAATTCACAGTAGCTACCCGGAGTCCTGACTCCGGGTAGCTACTGAGAATTTCCTGACAGAAAACTCAATAATTTATTTTTTGGTCCGGCCCGGGATTCGAACCCAAGCCTCATGATCAGCAGTCGCACTACTACAACCAATAGACCAACAAGGCAGTCAAAGCATATTTTGCAACATACTAACGTAACGCTCTATAGAACCTACGTTAGTATGTTAATTAATTAAAATGTGGTATTACTTTGTGGGGTATCTATATAGTTTTCTCATCTGGTTGGGTTCTATAAATATATAATTATAAATTAAAATGAAAAGATAAATATACATAAATATAATTAAAATAAAATAAATACAAAAATACATAAATAAATAAAAGCCCAACCAGATGGAACCCCTCGGCAGTGGAGACCAAACGGCCGATAGATAGGGGGAAAAAGAAAGAAACCGGCAGACGATGCGAGCGGTATCGAGGAGCACCGACTTCTGCATTTAAGCCCGGAGCGGTCCGTCACGAAGTCCCAGTCGCCTCAGATGACCCGAGAGGCTGACCGGGATTAGCCCATTCGCAGAGACGACTACAGGAATAAATTCGGTCGGTAGACCATCCCACATGTCGATAACCTCGTGAGCCAGGTCCAGATATTTAGTTTTCTTATCTGATTCGGATTGCACTAGGTTCTCGTCTTATGGTAATATCGACCAAAAATATTCTGGACTGTGCCCGGTCCATCAGCACAATATCAGGCTTATTCGCAAGAATAGTCCTATCTGTGATGATGGTCCGGTCCAAGTAGAGCTTGGAGCGGTCATTTTCGAGCACGGCTTCCCCTACTTATAATAAGGCAGTTTCCGATCCACGAGAGCGTATTTCAGAGCGAGCTCTTGGTGTAGAATTCTTTCTGTCTACTAGGTGTGTTATTATTATTACTTGTTATGTCGTGTAATAGCAACATAATTTTAGATTCCAATGCTTAATTTGATTTTGTTGCTTGAAGGTGTGACTTTGGTTAATCTTTGCGTGTAATGGAAACAGAAAGATGTCGATGTAATTCTATCTTGTATTAATACGTAATGTAAAATACCTAAGACGACAACGAGCAACATCGACAAATATTCTCCTTCTCTCTTCTAATGTATGAGGAAGTATCCTCATCATTACATTAAAGTTCAGAAAAAGTTTCAAGACAAATGAATGAAATTGAATTTCTGCACTACTGTGCAGAAATTCAATTTCATGCATTTTTGAATACACCCAGATTTTCTAGTACTCCTTGAAGCAAAGTTTATTTTGTTTCGTCTTTCCTTTCTGTCGATAGCATTGTTATTAATATATTCAAGAAACGTTAGTCACACAAATAGCGCAAGTGATGTCACCTCAGGTCTTAGGCACAGATGCCAACTCTGGAGCCTGATATAATACCTATAAAGTTGGCATAGACAGCAAGGATATTAATTTTTAATACAATGCTATAACTTTGCTAAATAGCCATTCGTCAGCTTTTTACGTAATATCTAAGTATTTTGTAGATTTATTTGAATTAGAATTTGGCTTCATTGGGAAAAATAATTTTCCAACAAAATTATTTAAAAATGAGTGTTTCATTTTGCAATTTATCAAAAGTCTTTACTTGCCAGTGTCAAACAAAAAAGTAAAGAATAGCTAAATTATTTTAGCATGTCCTTCTTATGCCAGATGTATAATAATAAAAATGGTGATGAGTGCAGGAGGTACTGCATCGGTGGATCCGCCCGTCAAATGTGAAGATTATGGTAAATCCTTCCTACATGGGAAGTCCTGTGTGCTGCTGTAATAAAAAAGACGGGTTGCACTCCGGGAGTGCCGGCAGAAGTGAAAATTTGAATATTAACGTTGTACATTTTTGATATTTTGGAATGGTTAGGGAATAATTTTGCATGAATTGCTTTAATTATCGGTATAAAAGTACTATCATTTATGTGGTAAATACAATATTTATTTATTGCGCTATCGTACACAACTAAACGACACAGCAGGCGCAGGCATACATTTTCGCCGCGCCGTAGAAAGAGAGGGGGATACTTCCTCTCCTACGCCGCGCCGGCTGTCTCTTTCTCTCCATCCGTGTTACGCATTTTCGATCAGGGTCACGTGTCCTGACGCGAGTTTAAAATTTTTTACCCATTACAAAAAAAGTTCACAACGCCGCTAAAGAAGTTTTCACTTCAATAATAATGTCCTCCAAATCGAATTTCGGTCACGGCTGTCAGTCTCAACGGAGACTAGCCATCTGCACAGGACTGAATTTTAGTGTTCAAGTGTATGCGCAAGCACAGGTGCACTCTCTATTCCCTCACCCTCATAGTCTGATGGGAAGATAATTCGACACGATCGGAGAGAAATCAGGCTCAGGACCAACAGCTGTACGTGCTTTCCGTGGCACGAGGGTGAAACACCGCCGACTTTATAACAACGGGCTAATACTGAGAATTTCTTGACAAAAAAAAACCAATAACTGATTTTGGCCCGCCCTGGGATTCGAAACCGGGACACCATGATCTGTCTATGACTGTCACGGAATGTCGAATAAAAATGAAGATAAATAATGCTACTTGTTAATAGAGATGGGCCGTTATAACGAGTAACCGAACATTATTTGGTTTAAAATGTTAAACACACAAATGTTAGCATTCGGCGGAATTACTCGGTTCAGTGGAAACGCAGCTTTGAGATGCGAAAACAAGATAAGGTAAATATGCTCCCGATGTACTACGCAGCTGAGCGCTCGGCTTGTACACCCATTTGGATCTATCAGTGCCTTACTTGGCAACAAATTGTAAAGAATTTATGAAAAATTCAATTTGTGGCAAAATCCATTCAAGTCGTGGACGAAACATAACATCTCTTAGCTGGTGAAGCACGACCTCTGCGCATCTCTATTTATTACTATCAGCTTTTGTTGGTCAATTGATCACCAAGTCTACCTACCGTACGTCACTACCCACTCCATGTTGTCCCGTGAGTGGGTAAGAGGCGACGGAGGGAAACTAACTCGGAGATGGACAGCACTGTCTTCCTAATAACAACTATATAAAATACAAAATAAAAAATGTTGGTGAAATGAAATCCCGCCTGCCAGGCGGCAAATATCCCCCCCCCCCTGGGCAGTCTATGCATGACTTTTAATAGGAATGTTATTAAATCTTATATTCATCTGAAACAGACAATTATAATCAAAATGTAGCAAATATTTTAACTGTATTCCGACAAAACCAAAATATCACCTGTCTTTACCAGCAAACATGAAAAAAGCATTTTAAATGTAGAAAAAAAAAAATTAACAACTAAAACCAGGTTTTGTAAGAGAATTTATGACCCGTTTAAATACACCACCCGGTCCGTTTCCGTAGCAGCAAGTCTCCTAAAGGAATTTAAGGATATGAAAAATATGTGACCGTCTGCGATACAGTATTTCATTCATTACAGCCTTTCGAAAATCCGCTTCTAAACACACAACCACAGAATAAATAATAGTACTACCACAGAATAAATAACAGTACTACGTACAAAAGTTGCAGTCCTTTGATGCTGACTGCTTGCCGACGTTTAATAGCCTACATAATTATTGTTATTTAGATAAATCGCGCTCTCAAGCTAAATAAAACTTAGTAGCTGCGCGAGAGTGTCCGTATTACTTTGCATCTTTTCCCCTTCCTACGTCACGGCGGACTTTCTGTGGTTACCAAGGGCTGTCAATAAAGAGTAAAAAAATACATTGCGAAATGTTAATTAAGTTACTTAGGTGAAATACCTTTTCTCAATATGATCGACGGACATATTCTTTTTAACTTTTCTAAGCCAGCACTTAGCTACAATCCCACCTGATGATAAGTGGTGATGCAGCTTAAGATGGTAAAGCGCACTGACTTAACAATAACCTATTCACTCTTGCCCTGAAGACACCCACACTGTAATCGGATGGAAAGACAAATGCTGGCAACTTATTCCACTCCTTTGCTGTACGCATGACAAACGACGTAGCAAACTGTTTAGTTCGAATGCGTGGTAAGTCAACAACGAAAGGGTGGAGACTGACCGAACGTCTGGTAGTCCGATGGTGAAAGGGAGAGGGAGGAGTTAAATTATGCAATTCCTGCGCACACTCTCCGAAATGCATCCTGTAGAAAACCGGCTACTTTGCGCCGGTGTTCGAGGCTGGTAAGATTGGTTTCATCCAAATTCGGGTCACCAATAAGCCTCTTAGCACGCCTTTCCATTTATTCCAGTGCCGCTAGGTGGCATTTCTCAGCACCAGCCCATATATGGCAGCAATGCTCTTTACACGACCAGCTTTGCGCTTTATATAAAGTAAGCATCTGTCCCGGTGTGAAGTATCGTATACCTTTGCAAGGACTCCAAGCTTCCTTGCAGCCACTTTGGCCTTGGACTCAATGAACCGTCCGAAGTTCAGATTTGAGGGTATCTCAACCCCCAGCAACTGGAGGCGGTCGGTGTATTCCAGTGATACATTTCGG